AGCCATGTGAATCTGATAATCACATTGGCTAGTTAAACCCGAAATTGAGGTGTAGCCAGAGTCGAATGGTCGCCATGCGAATCCGCCAGTGGTTAGCTACGGCAGTTGCTGCACCCAACCCCACAGCTACCGTGAGACTCCTTGGAGTGCCCAACCCCACAGACTACCGTGAGACTCCCTGGAGCAGCGGTGTTCTGGCTTATGTGTTTGCCCTCTTACGATTGAGCAGCATGTGGCCCCACTAGTGCACAGTCAAATGCATTTGTGGAACCCTAGCCCTAACCTTTATGTGTCGTTAGTCATCCGTGTTTGTTTTGTGCGTAAGCTTGCATGGTGAGGTTTTGGGATTGATGTTGGTGGGCGGGTTGTGGCCCGTAGCTCACTGAGGCCTTTGTGCAAGGATGACACGCCAATCCGAGAAGTGTACATATATTCACACAAATTGGGAAGTGTACCGAGGTAACCATGTTAGGGTGATTCACACAAATCGAGAAGTGTACTGAGGAAACCATGTAGGCCTCGCAAAGGCATTATCTGTAGGGTGGGGATGTTCGAAGTAAAATAATTTATGTATCTTGATCTGAGATCTTGACTGTCGCATGTGAGTTCGGGGCAAAATAACGTGTCCGTGGCCAAAATACCCTGGACCCGAACCTCGCAGCTTTCTTTCCGGAGCTAATGCGTTTCAATTCATGTGACTGTTCTCATCGGGACGCTTCGCATAATTGTACTGGCATCGGCTTTGCACATCAGTATCAGCTGTTGTGCTGCCTGCAGTGCCACAAGAAACGTACGTCCGCTTGCGTCGGAGCAAAGGACCGAGGGCCCCATTGGCAGTGTCTGCACAGCAAAACGCATGTCAGCTTCCTCGCAGTTTTCCGTGGTCTAACAGCAAATCCCGTGATGCTGGCTTCACTCATCCGGAACTATGCGCAAATGGATGCAACGAAGAGGCCCAGGCCACAAACTTGTTGCAAGCGTGCAGAACAAGCTGGAGACAGGTGCGTTTTCAATTTTGGAATTTGTTCCCATATTATTATTCAGCCCTCCCGGCATTCTCCCTGAAGCGTTTATGGCTTAGAAGTGGTGGCTTTAGATCCCCCGTGCTCTATGGTTTTTCTAAATCTTTGCATTCTCAGGTTGCAAACTCTGCAGTCTGCGGTCCTAAGTTCTTGCGGCTGCTGCAGCTTTGAAGGGTTGAGGCCTCCGAAATGTTGCTTTGACCTGTTCCTAGGCCTCCTAAAATCTGGAAAAAGTTGATGTGCATGTCGATGCATCTTTCAATGCACATCTTTCGGATGTGACGCGAAAACAGTACAACATTCCGGACTGTTTGAAGCTTTGGGGTCTGCGATGCTGCTTTCAATGGTTCCCAGGGCTCCGAAACTCGGGCCAAAAATTATTTGCATGTCGATGCATCTTTCAGAGCACACCCTTCGGATGTGGATGTGACACGAAAACGGTACCAAACCACGGACGATTTGAAACTTTGGGGTCTGCGAACAACATATTATCTGTTTGTCGATGCATCTTTCAACGCACATCCTCCTTCGGATGTGACACGAAAACCGCGGACGGTTGGAAGCTTTGGGTCTCCCGAGTGCTGCTTTGAATGGTTCCTAGGCCTCTTAAGCTTTGGCAAAAGGTTTATGTGCATGTCGATGCATCTTTCAGTGCACATCCATCTTCTGCAGTTGCCGCAATTAGGGAGCCTAGAAGCTGCCACTGCCCAGCCCGGACGGCGCCAGTAGTTGGTAGGGTTGGGGGGGGAAGGGATGGCTAGCTGTAGCAGTAGTAGTTAGTAGTGGTAGTGGTAGTGGTATTGGTAGTGGTGGTGGTAGTAGTAGTAGTAGTAGTAGTAGTAGTAGTAAGTATTATTATTAGTAGTAGCAGCAGCAGCAGCAGTAGTAGTGGTAGTTGTGGAATAAGTTAAGGTGGTTGGGGTGACAGGTGGTGCCAATCTGAGTAATGGTCGTGGCTGCTTTGGTCGGAGGCCTTCTACAGGATTGTGAGGAGGGAACGGAAGGTCTCCTACAGCAAAGCGCAGGGTGTGCCAACTTTAGCAGTGGCAGCTGCGACTCTTTGTGGCACTGTCTGGACCTCTGGTTCCCTAGTGCTCTGCAACGTTGGCTTGCTTCGGATCCTTCCTTCGACGTCAAAAACGTGGTAAGACTATACTGTAGCCACTCGAGTCGGCAATTTCTGAGATTCGCAGCTGTGGCATCGCCGTCACCCGAATTCATGCTGTTGAGACCGCGGGGTTGGCATCTAACCGACGGTCAAAACAGCCAGCAGCTTTTCTTATGCAATAGAGACGATCTTGCAGCGAAAGCGCTTTGCTTGGCGAGTCCCGAATTACTCATGACCGGGATCTGACTTCGCCGGTCTGTGCTGCAGTCTGATGCAGGCTTGGACATCCTTCAAGGATCGACCATGCATCTGCTATGTCTACACCTGAGCTTTCCCTATCATAGTCGCTCAGTCGCAACACATCATGATTTCCACGCTTCCAGGTGCCGCCTGTTTCCAGAGCTCCTCTGCATTGAAGCTGGAGCAGGCTTAATGTTCTGCTGGTTTTGTCGGCGGGAGGGGGGTGGGGGATTGTGACCCGTCCGTGATCCTTGAGGTGGACAACTTCACCCAGAGCGCGCTGCTCTCTCTCCAGGTCTTTGCACATGGACGAGCGTTGACATGGCCAACTTAGTGCACCGTCGATTGCTTCCAGGATAGGATGGGTGCCATCTTCACAGAACAACTGCTCCAGGACAGCCTGCACGCAGCATACTGTGCGCACGTGTCATGTTCATATAGCAAGCTTTGCTGCATGGAACCGCATATCACGAACAGAGTCGCATGCAGGTCATGTGTGGCCAGCGTAAGCAAGAGATTCTGACATTTACGCCAGGATGTGCCACCGGATCCATCTTGTTCACTTGCTTACATAATGGAGCTCACCGCAGGCACGGACAGAGTAGGGCTCTCCAACATTTCAAGCGAGACTGATTTGTTTGCAGGGAGCCTTTTTCCAGCCTGGGGCCGCTTTTCGCCTGTGCTCTTGCCACGTTTTGTGTTTTGTGTCTCCCTTGGGTTCCTAAAGCAGCAAAGCTCCTCCAGGCCTTGGCTTCCTCTTCCTCGATGCTACAGACTTTCGCAGCATGGATGGATCGAGTCCGAAGCGCAGTCACAAAGCAAAGTGTGCACAGCTTCGCACATGGGACTCTGAGGTCCTTTCGCTGCTGGTTGAAGTTCCTGGATCTTTGCTGCATCGGACCCGGAAGAGGTAGTACGATGTACCTTCCCCGATTGACGGGAATCGAAAGACATAGAATATCTGCTGGGATATGAAATGACAGCTGAAATGGTACCCTACATCTAATTGCACACCATTGCTTTTACATTGTTAGGCACAGAACCGCGAAATAACAAGCGCGTCCCTCGATATTCCTTATTCCGGTGGAATTTGGAGAGGCTTGGCACTTTCAGAAATGAGAAAGGAAGCCAGGTTTGATTCAGGGCTTTACCAGGCACCAACATATCCGAAATGAGAAGCATAGCTCTGAAGTTGCAGGAGTCCCAGCCAAGTAAGGCATGCCCCCCAAACGTGGGCTACCTTTACGTGTCTTAGTCTTAGCTAGGCCGTCGCCCCTACACGTCTTAACTAGCTGTTCTTGTAGATCGGTTGCGCTGGATGCAACTGAAGCATATCCCTGTCCCACTCAAAAGCTTAGGTTTCAGCACACCATGCTGAAGGCCAGCCTCGCAGCCGGAATTTGTGTTCAGAGTGGTGCGCACCACTCGTGCTCAGCTTCTGCTCTTCTATGGCGAGAGGCCCGAAAGCCGGGCTCCGAGAGGGCGCCCTGGCATCGCAAGCTTCGTTGCTGGTGGCCTCGCAGTGCAGGCGATGCCTTCCAACTGCTGATCGGGCGCCTTGCCGAAACAGTGAGCGTCCTTTCCTTAAACTGTTGCCCACTCGCAAGGCAAGCACCAACATCGGATCGACAGCATAGACCAGTCCAGGCGTGGAAAGCGGGGACCGTAACGCTGGCTTCCGCTCGGAGCTTGAGAGGCCGATCCTCCGACCCTTTGCCCCGAGAACGCTGCCAGGCTCTTCCTTTTTGTCCGCCAGGCTTTCATGGGAGCATGAACAAATGTGCACGCCAGAAGCCGGCAGTCGCATACGAGCCCTGTTCACTTCCTCCTAAGTAGAAGATGCAGTCAAGCTTGTGCAATCTATCGTCGGTCTCAAGAGGAAGCACGAGGCTCAGAAGCCTGCCATCGCAGGCGGTGCGTCCGGAGCAGGCTGCGAAGTGCTACCGGGAACTTCAGGCTGAAGATGTGAGAAGCCAAAGCATGGGAAATCGGACCCAAGCGTTGGGGCAGGCACTCGCATCGTCCTCCTTGCGCTGGGCGGGATCCCCACTCTGGGTAGAGTGTGAGGATAGACGGGATCCCGTTTTCCAATTTGTTAATGCGGTTCTGGACCAGGTCGTGACCAATCAATCCCATGTCGCAGCTCTTTCCGACGAGGTACAGGTCATGAACATGCAAGAGGATAAGTGTCGCCTGTAGTGCTTTTCTGGACAGAATCTAAAGGTCTCGCAACCATGATGCCAAACTGCTTATGTCTAGCAGGCTCATTGTCAGACTGAAAGCTTGTGAGGGGAATCCAGTTGCTCATTGTGCAGCGCCGAAAGCCACAACAGGGTGTGAAGGCTGAAGTGGGGAGGATTTTCTTCAGGGTTCCTACAGCTTGATTGTATTGCAGGAGGTCGCAGGAGTCCAGATAGCTTGAGCCACATTTTTCGTGAGACTATGCAGGCGACACTTCGCGGCCAAAGTCCTAAAGTGGAGCTCATCTGGCGCCGCTTCGAGGTTGGTAGTGAGATTCGGAAGTTTAAAACGAAAATGATGAACAAAAGGCCTCACAATCCCACATCATACAGTGAAACACTTAGGTATGCTGGATTTACATCTTGCTCGCAAAGTCGGTTGGCAAATTGCGCATCAGCCGATCAGCCAATCAGCCGGTTTGGGGTTTAGGTTTTAAGTTTTAGGGTTTAGGGTTAAGGGGCTGATCGTCTGATCGGCGTAGCACGGTTTGGGGCCCAAAGGCCATGCACACTGTGGATTTGACGTTATGTGACGCACCTCGGCCACTGTCGCTGCCGGAGTTGCCGAGTGTGTGTGGTCCAGTCAGTTGATTTCTACATTGCAAAGAATTTCAAACCAGCCAGGAGATAGACAAATATTCAGGACTTGTTGTTTGATCAATGTGAGACGTGCATGATCAAATAGTCTTTTGACTGAAGCGCGTGAATTGTTGTCCCGGCGCCCAGTTCGGGATGCACTTGCAGATGGCCTCGAAAACTGTTCATTAGGACGCAGATTTGCGCGACGCATGCAAAGCACCCGCAGGTGCGAGGTTGAGAGATGTCGCCGGCGCGAGCAATCTATGCAGTAGGCAGCCCGAAGAGGGCATGTTCAGGTGCCACAAGGCAGCTAGATTTGGAACAAGGAAGCGAAGCGGGGAGGGGCGGGGACGGAAACATACTAACCACACAAAACGTCCCCTGCAGGCACAAGCGTATCACCAGAGAATCGCGCATTTTTAGAAGCACAAAAGACTCCTTGCCCTAGCGGGCTGACATTTGCACTATGGACTGCCCTAGGGCCACAGGCTTTCGTTGCTGGCTTTCAGGATTTGTTGGGTTGGCAGGCAGGTTAAGGCTCTAGACGTCTGAGATGTAGGAGGAAGGACCGCAAGAAGCCCGATACTTTTGATGATTCAGTTTGGACTCAATTCTGCATCTGGCGTGAGAGTAATTCAGATTCAAGACCCCCAACAGCTTATTGGAGGCATCTATACTCGCGTAGCATGCAGGCTTCCTCGTAGATCCTGCTTTGTTCAGGGTATACTTGCGGGGGTGCAGGCTCCGGGTAGGAGACAGGACCCCAGAAAACCAAAATCGAATCAATCAAGTCTGGGATTCAAAGCTCAATTTGTTGGGTCGAGTCCTGTACACGTTTTGAAGAAGCGGGGGACCCTTTTTTTTTTTGTTTTTTTCGTCGCTCTGGGTGGGTGGCGGGAAGGCAGGAAGGAAGGAAGGAAGGAAGGAAGGAAGGAAGGAAGGAAGGAAGGAAGGAAGGAAAGCGGGCAGGAAGGAAGGAAGGAGGGACGGACGAAGAAGAA